TTCTTGAGATTTGAATAAAAATGTTTGAGGAGGTAATTGTTGATGCGTTGCACTCTACTGTGTTTTCCTTTCCTTCCAATGATTTTAATGGGTGTGGTGGCGATTTCTCGTGAGTTTGGTGCCTCTGTCCTAGGGCTGGTAAGAGGGAAAGCTCAAGTGCTTTGAACTCTTTCGGGCAATTGATGATGCCTTCATGTATTTTGTTGATGAGACATGGCTGAAGTTGATGCTGAGGTGGTACCTGTGGAAGGAATGCATCTCGCTCGATGCATGCGGGGCATGAAGGTCTGTTGATCCAAGACGACACTCTGGATCACCATCTTAATATAAGGCGAAACGTTTGGCGTGTAAATGGTGGGATTGAAGTAGGCAAACGGATTCTAACATAGGAACGGGAGATATAAACGCACAAATTCAGGCAGATGTAAATTAACAGTAATAGGCACTTGTTGCATAAACTCTTAGTAGTCTTATTTGCTGACCATATCTACAAACACCTGGGTTACTTCCGGAGAGTAAAGACAAGCCCGGGATGAATGCTACCTGACAATTGCACACTAAAGTTGAGTAACTGAAACTATTAAAGAAGTGAACAGCAAACCAATGGTACCGATTCACAGATCCTGGTGCCTTTTTTTATTTCTCTCCTTCATGTTGGAGACATCCGCGTTTGTGAGGAGAGCGTGCCACTCAATTTAAACGGGTTGATTAGATAAAACCCCATAGATGGCAGAATGCCGTCAGTCAATACTGAGTGGACTGATGTGTCAACGATCCTTTCCCCAATCCCCACACCTTAGCACCCACTTTGACACGCATTCTCTCCTTCCTGAAGCATTCTTTACTTCATTGGCAACTCTATCACTCATTCGTCTTTTAGCATTTCACCCTTATTATTTCACTATTTCCTCTTCATTACTTACTTACTTAATCCAACTGAACCTGATATTTATATTTTTATTCATCCATTTACTCATTCCACACTTTTTCCACGCATTTACGACTTATTTATTCACTTATCCATTTGTCCATGAGTTCGTTCCAAATTTGGTAACTGATTATTTCATTCAAACCCACATTCACGATTCTTCCAGTGAGGCATTAATATTTTCTCCTCATTCATGTATTTATTCATCTGCGATTCTTACCTTCGTACATCCAATCACACAGTCAAAACCCAACCATTCACTTGCAAATTAATCATCTAATCCGGATTCCTTTACTCATTCATCTATTCATAAAGGCGTTTGTTCCCAGCAATTTCAATTGTTACTTTATATTTTTGCTTAAGTATTGAATTAAATCACTCAAACATCTAGATACCTGTGCTTCTTATGTTCACACATCCAATCCCACATTCCTGATGCCCTTTTTTATTCACTATCAACTCATTCATTTCAGTTAATTTCATCCACTATTTCATTTAAGCACTCATTTTCGATTATTTCAGTGATTGGTTAGTACCTGCCTTTTACTTATGCACTCATTCACGATGCCTACATTCACTCACGCATAAACTAAGTCCGCTTTCATTCATTTACCTTTCATGACTAACTCACTTGGTCCTCATTCGTCCAGCCATGCGTGTATCCCGTACATTCACTAATTTATTCATTTCTAATTCTTCATTAAATCACTCAGTCCCCACTTTTTAATGTTTCATTATACTTTTCACTTCATTCATTAACCCATTCATAAGCCATTCTTACACACATTCCTCCATCCACTCTTTCACGATGCATTCTTTCAAACCATAAACATCAATTCATCCCCTCCTAACTCCTTCACTCATTCATTTATTCATAAATATATTCAATTATTCTATCCTGATTCGTTCATTCAATCGCACACCCCAATTTACTATTAATGCACTCAAGATGGATATGGCTGGGAGGTACTGAAGCGAAAACAGAGTGGCATGGGAGAATAGACGCAAAACCCTACCTCCACGGAACTGCGTAAGCCCCGTCCTTTGGCATATGACTCAGCCTTTGGGCCAGTGTCCCTACAACTAGCCATGGGCACGCGTGATGGCCAGCGCCTTCCCCCGCCCCCGAATCCAGTTACCATACGGAACGAAACCCCAGATCTAGTGAAACTGCCGAGAGGGATCAGTGATGGTGCGGTCAAGCATCATCTCGGTTGCATAGGAATTCGATGACTGGGACGCATGGCTTGTGGGTGCCTTCTTACAGTACTGATTACGCTGTACTGACTGACGCGGGTGGTTGACTAAGGGCAGCGCTGGAGACGGCGCTAAAATGAAGA